AGAAAGAGAAAAGGAACTAGATTTTTCCGATCAGGCACCAAAACCCCAAAACTGGCGAATAGTTCCTTACATTTAAAATGTGTCTAAACTCGTTGAAGGACACCTGAGGAAGCACTAAATAAAAGTAGCACACAAAACGACGACCACACTACGCAGTCAGCTTGCACAGACTAAGAATAGGGTTGGCTATTTGGACAAAAAAGAAGTAGTCTATAAGATTCCATGTGGCATTTGTAATGCGGTATATTGTGGTCTAACCGGGGAATCCGCCTCCACACGCTTACATGAACATAAATTGGCAGTAAATAGGCGGGACCACTTATCCCAAGTCGCCATGCATACTCTTGAAACTGGGCACAAATTTGCTTAGGATAAAACACGCATTGACGGTTCCTGCCCATATAAGAAAAGCCGAGACTTTTGAAGACTGTTCACTCTGATGATTTATTCATCATTCGCGCATCGATCTGCAGCCATGTATATAAATCTCAAAGAAAAGTGGAAAAGGTGGTAACCAATCAAAAGACAAAGTCAGCCCACAGCACCGACCCATCCTCAGCACTGACAAAGCAATATCGATTTTTCGGGTATGTTTAAATTTTAACTGTTTGTCACTTTCTACACGTCTGACGATGACCTGGGGAACCAGCGTCGAAACTTTACGAAAAAAAGTTTGTTCAGTTTCCCAGAGGACTTATTTTTATTCGAAATATATGTATATGTGTGCATATCTTGGCTGAGGACTGTTAACTGACAGTGTTACGGAACTCACTCCTTCCGTTGAACCTTGGGCTATCTCTCGATCCCAGGCAGCAGCCGCACAGCGGCGCGTAATATAGACAGTTTGTCGGTAATAACATACTGCCTATATCATGCGCCGCTGTTCGGCTGCTCGTTGGGCTCGAGAGAGAGTCCGTAAGACACAACGGAACGAGTGAGTTCCATAAGAACGATCGGTGAACGTCCCCTATCATTGTATATTCCCGATCGAAACCGACAGGAAAATAGACCCGTGGCCCAGTGGTTAGAGACGTTAGACTTCTAACTAGCAGGTTGCGAGTTCAAGCCCCAGGTGTTACAAACTTCGGGGTGGGGCATGACTGGCTGACGACGGCTGGTAAGCCAGAAATTGCCATTCCAGTCTCCCATGTCTTTGTCGGTAATAACATACTGCCTATGCATATATATATATCGCGTTCATCATCTCCCGAAGAAGACGAAGAAGAAGAGACGGCGAATTTATGGAGCATATTGTATTCGTACTGACGTTTCGGAAACTTCCTCGTTTCCATCATCAGAGTAGCGTAATTGTTGCACTTGCCGGTCTTGAGTTGTCCAGTCTTGCCGCTTGCCTCGTATTATACCCGTGCTGGACGCACGAACTTTAACCTGCCTGTTTGCCGCTGACTGGCTTAGACCTCCCCGGAGTTGACCGCTGACAGGCCTGCGTGACCTTTGTTCCCTTTGGGGTCGGCGTAATTGTCATCAAATCAACGTGCCACTTGGCCCCTCCCACGTCAGCCGGTGGACTGATCGGTCGTTGCTGTTCAGGTGAGCAGCATTCAGCTTCGCGGGCGCATCGGTGAGACAGAGTTCGGTTTTGGCCACATGACCTCTGGTCCCCAATTCCGCTTTTTTCCGTGAGCGTTGACTCTCGGTCCCGCGTACTCGCTTGCCTTACTGGTCCTTTCCGGACTGATCCGAGTCTTGTAAGCAGTGCCTGGTAGGCGGGATGTAGGTCTATAGCTCGGTTGAGTGTACCGGTCGAGGACCAACTTTCGAGCACCAGTCTGACCATCTTCTCATTGGCTCGACCAATTACCCTCGCTTTCTCAAAGGCAAAATTGTGGTTCAGTTCTTGTATGTGGCCATAGACCAAAGACAGCTTGTCCTTGCGATTGATTGTAAGTTGGTGTTCGTGCAATCTTGTACCGAGGCGTTTGCCCGTTTCACCATCATACCTTGCATTGCAATTTAGGCATGGTATGATGTGGACCACCGCCGACTGTTCTGTTGTTGGTAGCGGGTCTTTGGGCTTCATGATTTGCTGTCTGATGGTGCATTCAGGTTTATGAGCCACGCCAATTCCAAAAGGAGTGGGCGCACACCGATCTATTGACTTCACGAAGCAAACAAGCTTCGTATGAGTGACAAAGGTCACGAACAGGCAACCAATTATCAGGCCGAAGTCGGCCAAGTCATAATAGCAGCGAGGAGGGACGACAGAGAATGCGGGTAGATTGATACAGTACAGTTTCGGGCATATGGTGCCTTCATTCAGCCAATCATAACCCTGACCAACAGCTGGGATCAGAAACACAAACATGCGCACAGACGCGCCTGGCGTAGTTGATCCACCACTGAAGTCTACCAGATGGGTCATAAGCACTTCATTGAACCGAAGTTCATCAGTGCCTCGCCACCTATCATTCTCTGTTTGCTTTGTGAAGCCAATAGATCGGTGTGCGCCCATTCCTGATTGATAAATACCCGATCTGCAGCGACAGAGAATGACAGGTGGCGCGGCATTGATGAACTTCGGTTCAATGAAGTGCTTATGACCCATCTGGTAGACTCCAGTGGTGGATCAACTGCGCCAGGTGCGTCTGTGCGCATGTTTGTGTTTCTGATCCCAGCTGTTGGTCAGGGTTATGATTGGCTGAATGAAGGCAAACAAGCCCGAAACAGTGCTCTATCAATCTACCCCCCAGACTCTGTCGTCTCCCCTCTGCTATCATAGCTCGGCCGACTTCGGCCTGGTAGGTGGTTGTCTGTTCGTGACCCCTATCGCCCATACGAAGCTTGTTTACTTCGGGAAGCCAATAGATTGGTGTGCGCCCATTCCTGAGTGAATATATATGTATATGTTTGCTCAAAAACTTAAACAAAGGACGAACACAACCGGCGAAGGAACGAAAATACAAGAGGAAAAAAGGAAATCTTGCAGCAAAAGGGTCGAGGGAAATGGACAGCCGATTCCGAGGAATGCCTGCAAAGAACCGGGACCAGAGACGTCGGCGACCGTATCGCTCACCACGGGAAACGGTATAGATCCTAAATCCCTAAACCTATCGCAAAAAACTTTCGACTTCGATGATAATGCAAGCAAAACAGGGACGAATGAGAATCTTAATCGAATGCGGCTTATATCTGCGTTAGGCCATGACAACCACGTATTACCTTTGTCGGGGTACGAAACCACTGTGATCTCGAGAGTCGCCGGACAGAGTGTAGTGTCTGATTATTCAGGGACTTCCCAATCCACAGCCAGTGCCTTCAAAGAGCGGGTCTCGGCGGACCCGAAACTCTTCCAATATCTATTCAACGAACTGCTGCAGCCCAATGAGGAAGTTTCGATGCTCAAGGCCTTTAGACTTGGAAAGCGCTCAATCGACATATCAGAGCATTCGCGTCCCCAACCACACAAGGTTGTGCTAGCAAACCAAGAACAAGTAGGACTTATTTTTTCACGAAGATTACGAATCAAAGACACCAACCGTGGCTTTTTTTCAGTCGGACTTCACGCCGACAGAGAGAATAAAGCGTCGACAATTACTTCTGGAACCAAGGACAAGATTGCAGAATGACGAGACAACGACCAGATAGTGCAGCGCCCTCCCCAAATTCGTTGGACAGAACCGATTTGAATGAGGGCACAACATGTTTCTTAAACAGAAACTCAAGCGGCACGATAATAAAACGCCGAAAACTCTAAAGCTAACACTTTTTACACTAACGTGCAGAGTATACTGCCCAAGTTAGACGAACTGAAGATCCACATCTGTGACCTTTCTCCCAACGTTGTTTGTTTGACAGGAACCTGACTGTCTGATAATGTAGATGACTGCTAATTAGTGCTACCAGGATTTCAGTTTTTTCGAAGAGATAGAATAGGGCGTCAGGGAGGAGGAGTCGTCACTTACGCAAAACACGGCCTACTTGTGCCGGAAAAAACAGAACATTTTGCGTGCAGCGCCGAGACTATCTGGCTCCCTATAAAGGTACCAGGATCACACAGCCTTGAAGCTCTGACTGTCTATCGATCACCGAGGAGTGACTCCGAGGCTGACGCTCGTTTGTTAGAGGAGCCACGTTCTGATCATGGGCGTCTTTAAAGCACCGCTCATTGACTGGAGTTCACTATACGCGCGCGGCCCAGAACTAGCTTTCAACCGACGATTCTTGGACATGGCATTCAGGTCATTTCTCACTCAGCACATCCTATTTTCTACGAGGGTGCGCGAGGGGCAGCAGTCAAACTGCCTGGACCTGATTCTCACGAAGTCGCTGGACAATATAGATGAGGTGCAATATCTGCCTCGCCTAGGTCGAAGCGACCACGTCGTACTTCACCGGGACTATTCAATCTTATCCGTGCCTGAACAACCTACCAGAATTAGAAGAAATATCTGGCATGGTGATTTCGAGCAAATGAAGGCCGAAGTCAACAGTATGGAGTGGGAATCAGCTTTTTCCGGAAATAACGAGGAAGAGTGGAAATGGTGCAGTGAGTTATTTCATGTTATCCTGAGAAACCACTGCCTGCTTTCACGGAAGATGTTAAACAGTCGACCCCGGTGGCTGACCCAGTTGTTAAAAAGGAAGTAAATAAAAAGCGGTGATTGTGGCAGAAATTCCTCATTGATGGGAACCCTGTGTCCATAAACGCATAGAAAACACAGAGGAACCTAGTCAAACGACTTACCCTCAGGACACGGCAATATTTTGAAAAAGACCTACCGCATCGAGTTGTGAAAAATCCGAAATTATTCTACAGTTACATAGGAAGCAGCGCGCGAAACAGAAACCCTGTCCCCCCTCTGAAGACAAGCGGAGACCTAGAGATTAGTGAGGATGAAGCAAACGCTGAACATCCTTCAAGATTTTTCAAATCCATCTTTACGAGTGAAAGCGCATTTACTTCTCCCTACTACGACTTCGATGAGGGCCCAAAAATAGAGGCTGTATCTTTTGATGAAGCGACTGTTCGTAAAGAGCTGATGACGCTAAATGAGTCGAAATCGCCGGGTCCAGATGACGTACCGCCTGAGTTACTGAAGGAGCTCGCGGCTGAAATAGTAAAAACACTGTCCATGCTTTTCCAAGCCTCGTTCGAAGCCGGTTGTTTACCCGCCGATTGGAAATCTGCGCGGATCACACCGATATATGAAGAAGGCAGCAAGGCCTCTGCAAACAATTACAGACCAATACGCCTCACCTCCATCTGCTACAAAATCATGGAAAAAATAGTTATGCGAGAGCTAATACGCTTCCTAGAGCAGCATGGGTTCCGTAGTGGCAGGTCATGCGTGACAAACTTGCTCTACTGTCTGGAACGTTGGACTGGGACAGTTGATGAAGGCAACACGCAGCGTGCAGGCTATAATGACTTTAAAAAGGCATTTGATAGTGTCCCACATCAGCGACTCCTGCACAAACTCAGCCGAACAGGCGTTATGCGTAATCTCCTAAAATGGATCCAAAGTTTCCTATTTGACCGTTCTCAAACTGTCCATGTCGGTTGGCAGCAGTCGGCAGAGGTTGCCGTCGAAAGCGGTATTTCCCAAGGCTCAGTTCTTGGTCCTACTCTGTTCATTATTTACGTCAACGACTGCGTTAGTGAACTGGACTGTGGTGTCGCCATGTTTGCGAATGATAGTAATCTCTGGAGCGTCATTCGAACCGCAGATGACGAAGAGCATTTGCAGGCGAACAGTGGTTAAAAGATTGGCTTTTGCCGTTCAATGCGAACAAGTTGGCAGGACCAACTCTCCGACCCTCACGGCTAACTGTCTGAATAATAGACCACTGTAAGAAGTGAACTCACAGAAGGACTTGGGAATGTGGATTGCGAACTCACCCCAACCCTCGCTGAACTGCACAGAGGTAGCCAAGTCTGAGATGTCGGTTCTCTACCTTGTAAAGCGGGCTGTCTCGGCCCTTGGTAAGACTGCTCCGCTAAGGTCTTTCAAACGTTCGTGCGGCCGAAATTGGAATTTGCTATACGAGCTTGGAGATCATGAACCGCGAAGGACCTCAGCATCCTCGAAAATGTTCAAAGGCGTGCAACGAAGCTTGTGACAGGACAGAGTTCACTACCATATGAAACGCGGTTAGCTAATCTTGATCTCTTTCCCTTGGGTTACAGGCAGCTACGGGGTGACCTGATACAAACATTCCGTATCATACGCGGTCAAGACTGCCTTGTACCGGGAGACTTTTTCCAGTTAGCAACCATCACAAACCTACGAGGTCAACCATTCAAACTACGTGTGACCGGGACCAGACTGGACGCACGAAAGTTCTTCTTCTCCAACTGAGTGCTCAAAGCTTGGGACGCCCTGCCTCCGGATGTCGTTATGTCTGCTTACGTCGAAGTCTTTAAGAGAAAGCTGTATTTGTATAGCGGTGTCCACTAAAATACCACCCGACCTCTGTAACCCTGACAAGTTCGCAAATCCTGTTGCTATACTACTTGCTATATTTCAGTAACATTTTAATTGAATTACTTATCGTCTCGAATCCATCTACGGTTACTGGCATGCACCCACGCAACGTTTGTCACCGGGGATACTATTTCTTCCACTGCATTCCAAACGACCACTGTACTACTGCTTGTACCACTAACACTCGAGACAGTTCCTCCGTATGTACACAGTTGACCCTTTTCAGCTTATTTTTTACCTTTATGATACCCTTTCCAGTTTTCGAAATGTTACAGTTGCTTGTAAACAAATAGGGAGTTCAACGGTGAAGACCTACATTTCCCTCCAATAAAACTGAACTGAACTAATGTATGTATGCATGATGGGACAGAAGGTGGATATAGTACACACAGTATTAGTAAATGAAATAAGGGAGAGATGGTCCATTTGGATGGGATAGTGACACGGACATGCCTACTAAACAACCGGTTGGTGAATGCCGCGCTGTGGGGCAGATGTAGGAGAGGACAGTGTAAAGTGCTGATGTAGACAGCGTGCGGGATGACTGTTGCGATGAATGTTGCCGGAGGGGAGTCGGAAGTTGTGGGGGAAAGGGAACCAATTATTTTCACCGACACGCGGTTACATCATCTCCACCCTGGATTTACGCCAGCTGTTCCTTCAGTCCCATCTATGGGGCGTAACATTATTACAAGTGGCTGGGTGTTAACATTTCTTGAATTGAGGTGAATATTCCAGTTCAAGGTATATCCATAATTAAGGTAACCAAGACTGATCCAGAACCGAAGAGAGATGTTTATTTTTTCCGAGCCCTCGAACTCGTACAAGAGTTCATTGTCATATAAGGAAGCTTCCTACCACCTGTTTTCCCATTTTAGGTATTGAAGGTTATTAGAGGCAGCAAATCAGGGCGAAGCACTCATACCAATTACTCTTTTCTTTAACTGTAACATCCAGATTAATGATTGCTCCTCATTATGCGACCACCTCCGTGAATCACACACTAATTCCAAGGAATAAGTGAACTCCTGCAAAGGCAATCCCTATGTGACTTTGAATAGTCCCGACCACAGTTAATAAAATATTTGCTGGTGGTCCAACTAAATTCAGGCAACAGATCCTTCCCTGCAGTGGGTGAGGTATAGTTGTCTAGCGGTAGAAAATTGGACACAAATGGCTATTTTATCTTATTTACATATGTTAATAATGCCTTCCGGTTGTTCTGCATATGTGCAGATTTTTCTTTACAATAATATGTGCGAATGGCTACTAACATGTCTTTTAAAAAGCGGCGTTTGCTTAAACTGGCATGCAGTGATACTCCGTAAATGACTGACTGACTGGCACTTAGATCGTCACGGGCGGCGATGTCCACCTTGTTTTCCACGGAGTGGACAAGACGATGTTAAGACGGCCGGAGGCGGGATCGGACGCAGGGACTGGATGGGCTTGGCAATCCATCTACGCGTGCCATACGCGCCTGGTCCACGCGCGATGGGCTAGGTTTTCACCGGGACGATAAGTGGTGGGCGGTTTGAATCCCAGTTTTGTGGGAATGCCATGGAGGCCACATTAAAAAGGAGCCATTACAGTCTGACTACTGCAGGAAACGACTAATTCCGTCATTTGACAGCCTTCCAAGACACGGTTTCTAGCGTATCATGATAGCTTAAAAGTGCGTCAGATTGCTTATAGTGGGGAATATGTGCTGAGCGTCATGAAGATGCCGACCTCACTCCCAGGCACCAGTCCACTGTCTGAGCCGGCCAGTTATCCGATGCAGGGAGTTGACGAAAGTGGCTTATAGAGCTAAGCAGCCCGTCTGAGCGTGCCACACACGGCCTGGGCCTCGCAACAAACCAAGTTTTCTCGCAAAGGAATGGGCGGCCCAGATATCATATGCGTGTGTTATGACTCGGCCTGGTACTTAGAAATCACGTATGCGCACTCAACTGTTACCCAAATACCAACGCGACAGAGAAGGAGAACAAGAGCGGCCACGGAAAACTGCATTAGGAATCTGCAAGTCGTCCCAAATTAATGTAATCGTGTATTTATAAAATCCTATAGGGACTGGCCGGCATTCGGTCCAATGCGTTTTGAGAGAAAAATTCCAGAATGGCTGATCGTTTCCTCGCATGCGCGGACCACTCAGGTTCGAGAGGAACAGCCCATGGCGAGGCACTATCGTCATGCTGACAGTGTGCTAACAGCATGCTGGGGAAGGCTTACGTGACCTCCTGTGATTGGTTGGTCCTTGTTCTTTGGAGTGTAGGCACTACCATCAATGTGGGAGACCTTTTGGAGTGCATACGAAGAAGGAGTCAGCAAGTCTGACTTACACTGAACCAGTCAACCACAACACAAAACACAAAAAGTTCCGACTGAGAGGTCTGGGTTGTACCATCAGTTGGCATCATTTCAAGTCACGACGTTTACTGCGTCATAATGGATCCAACGCATCATACTTTATCACAGTAAGGAATGTGCTAAGGTACCTGAGAGATAGAGCCTCTAGAACTGACCTTACTCGCTCCTACAGTTCCCGCGTACCAGCTGATTGTCCAAATCAGTCAACCGACTTACGCAAAGATTGGGCGCAGTGGGTGACAAAGCTGAACCGGTGCATGCCACGCACCACCCGACTCCGCAGGACACCACACGATGGGGTAAGCGGCTAAGATCTCGCATGCGTTAGAATACCATAGAGACCAAACGGAGAGAAAGCCGGTGAAAACGCTTCTTTCCTAAGTGGGAGGGTGTCCATTCGGTGCCTCTGGTGGAAAATTTGGGATGGATTCATGGGTAATATTTACGTTGGCGGTGAGATGAGTGGTAATGGAATTTGGTTTGTGTCGATTTGACACAGATTTCATAGAGGCGCATGCAACCGAATATGCCCATTGATTGACTAAATGTGCGTCGGTAGTACAGGCAGTGGGGTGGATGCGGCTGGTGTGTGTTGGGGCTCCGGGCATTCAGATTGGAAAAGTTTAGAGATCCGGGAAGATTATCAGAAGAAGAAAATTGGCTCTCCGGAACGGGTTTATTTAACTGCTGACGTTTCAAAGAGCTGGGTCGGCTCTTCATTGTCAAAGCGTAAACTGCACCTAATCGATCAGAAATTTAGTTCGTCAGTCTCCGTGTGATAGGATGACAAGTGACCGATCAGGCCAGTGCGTTATGTGAGGACGTGATTGCAATGAGGACAGGTTAGGAATGAGTGCGCGTTCTTTGGTTTGATGAATGAAGCTAGTCGTTTAAAATTTGAAAATGTCCAAAAACGTTTTTCTAAAAAACTTTTAGATAAGGAACATCCCAATATCTCCTACTAAGATAGATGCCAGCTAATTAACCTAAAATTTTTATAGGTGCGAAGACTGGATGCGGGCTTCTGTCTCCTCTTTCGCATTAATCATAGTTCAAATTTTCCTCGAATTTCAGCACTCACCCCTAGTAGTCGTCCATACAATCTTCGCAACTCGTCCTTGATTATACCTCCTCCAGCGTCCTCCATCTCTAAGCGCTCCCTTTTTTCGCTTCCAGATATACTTTCCTCGGGAATGACCTTCCAATAAATATAAGATCTTCAGAAAATCTACACACCTGTAAGAGAAGACTACGCCTTTATCTGAATACTGACTCGATTAAACTCTTATTTTCCTCATCCTTCCCAGACAACTTTTTCTATGACACCGAGAAAGGGCCACCGGGAATTTAGTATGCCGCCATTAAATTTCCGTATCTGTTCACATTTCCTTCCTTTGTGAGTAGTCTCGCTTCCTAATATCCCTCACCAGAAATGTTAATTTTTCCAATTTTTCAGTTCATGCATCGTGCCCTCACAGAATGCGCTCCATCGACGCTCTTGGCAAAGCCTTCTGTATTCGCCATATACTAGTAGTCTGGTCGCATCTCCCTTGCCCCATCCCCGGATGGACTCGGATGAATGTGACCGACCACATCTGGGTTCCTATCACCTCGAGACTGATTTTCAATTTCGCCACTTATTTGCCTTATTCGAGGCCACATACAGGCCAGTCCTGACCGACCCGCCTACTTACCCCTTCATGAGATCCGTTATACAATGTCATATACAGCTGACATTTTTTTCGGCCCTGACGATGTCCGACTATAATCCATTCTATACCTAAAGCACTCTCCCTATTACTTGGATGTTTCCTCATTCACGGGAAACTTCTGCTTTGCATCTGCTATTCTCTCGCCACAAAGAAAGGCAATTATTGGCTGTATCTACAATCCCCCAAAATCTTCTGCCAGTGATGATTCCCAACTCTGTGAAATCTTTAAATTAATTTCGGAAGCTGCTTTCGATGTTAAAATAATCACTGGGGATTTTAACCTTCCTGAAATAGACTGGGTTTCCAATAGCTGCCCACCCAGACTCCAGCCCTTTCAAGATATTGTCAATTTTTCTAATTGGTCCCAACTGGTGCGCTCTCCAACAAGAGATACTCACATTTTAGATCTAATTTTTACCAATGACATTGCTCCTCTTTCTGTTGCTTTAAAAAAGGACCTCTTTGACAGTGACCACGTATTAATTCATTGTTGCTTACCGCTTGCCTTTTCAAAAAAGACAAGCGCCGTTCGGAATTACATGAACTACGACTGCGTAGATAGCGACTTAATAAATAACTATATGAGATCCTTGGATTGGTGTGGCTTCCTCACTTGTAGCGATGCAACCATTCTTCGTGATGTCATGTCCAATGTTTCCAAGGACATTCTAGAGTTTGTGCCGCGTAGATATCTGAAGCCTTATTCTTCAGATTCCCTTGTTCCTCATTTTCTTCAGAACAGACTAAAAAAGTTGAGGCGACAACTGCTTGACCCATCCACTAGTTCCTTATCAGTTCATCTTAGAATCACAGAGATTTTTGAGATGGCCTCAAGGATGAGTCAGGCGCACGACAGGCAAAGAGAATCAATTGCTCTCAGTGGTTCGAACCCTGGCAAATCCGTCGCTAGCATCTTCCGTCATCGGTCCTCCTCTAAGCGTGGTCACGAACTCCCACCCCTGCTGAATGATAACGAAGTCTTCCTCACCGATGACACTGACAAGGCGGAGTTGTTTAGTGCTTTCTTTGCAAAACACCTTGCTACCGAATCCGATCCGGTCCCTTTCTTTCGATCACTTTCAGATAGGACACTAAGTACAATTGGTGTCTCCTCAGATCTCATTAAGAAACACATAAGCCGTTTGAAATACTCACACTGCTCAGGAACGGACGGGATTCCGAATTCGATTATTAAACAAGCGCCCGATCTTCCCATATTGCTTAGTCATTTCTTCTCTGTTTATATTTCAAAAGGATTCTTTCCTGAAACATGGAAAACGTCAATTATCATTCCCGTCTTCAAGTGTGGATCTCGGTCCGATGTTAATAACTATCGGGGCGTGCACAAAACGCCGTCTCTATCAAAGCTTCTTGAAAGGATTATCTTCCATGAAATTCTTGACTTCTGTCTAGCTAATCGGCATCTGAGCTCTAGTCAGCATGGATTTTTACCTGAACTATCCTACGAAACATGTCACTTGGCTTTTCTTAATCTAATCACTTCTCTTCGTAATGAGCAGCAGTCAGTGGTTGTTATTTACTTTGATCTTAGCAAAGCCTTTGACAAGGTGCCCCATAGACGTCTTTTAGTAAAATTGGAAGCTCTCGGCATCCGGCCGCCTCTACTCGACTTCATCAGGTCCTATCTGTCCAACCGATATCAGAAAGTCATGGTCGGTAATAGCTACTCGACACCTCACTCGATCACGAATGGCGTACTTCAAGGCACGGTACTGGGTCCGCCACTCTTCCTTCTTGACATCAACGATATTTCAACTGAACTCGGAAGTTCATAAACTTTCGTTTATGCCGATGACCTCAAGTGTGTTTACTCATACTCTAAGGACACCGCAAACGTTTGTGTTGAAAAAATTAATGCCGATTTACTACGCTTAAGCAGATGGGGTTCAACATGGCAGATGGAGTTTTCATCATCCAAGTGTAGTTTCATGTCTTTTGGTCCTACCAAACTTCAAGGCCCCATAATTTTTCAGAATAACCCACTCTAAGAATGCCTCACCATAAAGGACCTAGGTCTAAGTTATACAAATAAGCTTGCTTTATCACCTCACGCAGATAGAATCTCTGCCAAGGCCGCGCAGATATGTGGATTCATATCGCATAATTTTTCCTTCCGGAAATGGAACAAAAACTTTATCAAATGTTTGTGCTTCCAGTCCTGGAATACTGCTGTCCTTTCTTCGGTTTAATGAACGCCTGCGACCGTAATAAAATCGAAAATGTTCAGAGGGTTTTCACCCAGAAACTGTTCTCTCAAGCTTCGTCCGGTATTTCTTATACTCAGAGATGTCAGCTGGCGAACATGAAGTTTTTGTGGGTTCGAAGACTCGAAGCTGGCCTTTGCTTCCTTTTTCGCATCAACTCTAGCTCCAGTCTTCCGCTTATTGACACTCTCACTCCGAGAGATCGGTCTTATACCACGCGCAACTCCTGCATGGTGATTCCGCCGCCTCTTTGTACTACATCTAAGCGCTCCCTCTTCTTTGCTTCCAAATATGCCTTCCTTTGGAATAATCTTCCGCCTGAAATTAGATTATCGCCTAAGTTACTGGTATTCAAGTCGAAATTACGCAAACATCTTACACCGGAAAGCATAAAGGCACTGTTAACGGTCTCATTCCCGAACACTCTGATACTTGACTTCGAGAAGGGTCCTCCTGGGATTTAGTGCTAGATCTAGTGGTAACTCTTAATTATATCATTAGAAACCCCTGTTTTGAATTGGTTTCTAAATCCACTGCTATCACTCCTCCCCATAGCGACAATTTTCGCGGTTTTGATGTCATCTCCCGCATTCCGACCTCATGCGGTCTGTCGACGCTCACGGCGGAACCCTCAGTATTTACGGTCTACTAGTAGTTTGGTCGTACCTCCCTTCCCCACTGCTCGGCTGAGGTCGAAGCGTGCGGTGGCCGATCGCATCTGGGTTCCTCTCGTCTGGCCTCTTTGACGCGAATAGTCTCATGCGGCGTATGAATCCGGCCCAGACGATGTCAATTGTGTATCCCGTATACAATACCACATGCAAGCCATTCCTTCTGACCCGCATACGTACCCCTCAAGGCTGACATTTATTGCTACCCTGACGATGACCGACAGCAATCCGTTATATACCGCCACCTACAGGCCTGTCCTGCTCGCTTTTTTCTGTCATCATTTTTATTGAGGTTTCTTCTCCTGTAAAATTAATGCAATCATTTTTAGATTTTCATGTGTAGTTTTTTTAACCCCTCGCTTATCATTTTCCTTAACGGACTTCTAATTCAAAAACCATGTATTGCACTTGGTACAGATTTTACCTCCCTCGTCTAAAATTCGTATGTAAATTAATTTTTACTTGCTTTGATGGGACCCCGACGGCTCTTTAATAAAAATAAAAATAATAATAATTATTATTATTATTACTGATGGTAGGTGGTATGTGAGTAGTGCCTTTCAGTCGACGACTGACTGGTTGCCCGGCCTTTGAAAGGTGTTCACCCAGATTCACTGCAGGGCTGCGTATCATTCTTTTGTGCAGTAAGGTCTGTTGGTGTCTGTTATGCCACGACTCAGCAAAACATAGCCCTCGCGACCTAGCGTATGCTGGCAGTTCTCTAGCCCCTGGTTCCCTGCCGGTAAAGGCAATCGTGCTCCCGTTGGGTATACAGGTCGTATGCATGGCTGCCCACTCATCCTCATCTTACTGACTCGTTGCTGTCTTGCTGTTGGTTAAAATACTGGTCAAGTGTTTTTTGTGGACCAGGGGGTGTGGCGGCGCGCCCAGGTGCGGGTCTGGCCGTGCCAGCCCCCTGCACCCTCTATCCACTCCGTCATCCTGGCTTTTTCTTGACATCGGTCTCAGGTGGGGGAGGAGCTAGTGTGGTAGATGCCGCGGAAGTCTACTCTCAATATAAACTCATCAACGCGCAAGCCACCTCGCGTACTTCGCCTTGCTGTGGTGCCACTGCAGGGGTAACAAGGTAGGCTTTTCCGGTGTCAATGGGTGGAACTATCGCGTTGTTGCTGCATTGTGTCCAAAGACGTCCAGCCGATGCGCTCGCGGGACACTTTAGAAATGATAGGGTGTTAGGATTGGGGTCCACAGGGCTTATGAAGTGCGATACGTTCTTCTGGCTTTGGCAGCGGTGATTCGGTTGGCTTCATAAACTGCTGCTTCAGTCTATACTGCTCTTCTTTATCCCGGCCGGTCCCCTGAGAAATCTGCCTAGATCTCCGTTTTTATTTGTTGTTGCCTAAGAGTGGATTTCAGGGTGTCCTTATAGCATCGTTCTTTCCAGCTTGTCGGCGTGCACCCGCTCTGACATCATCATAAAACAGTCGTTTTTATAGACGATCGTCATATATCCTCGCAAGTTGGCCCCTCCAGCGCAGTTTCAACTGTCTCAGTATGACGTGAATGTTGACGATTTCGGTTCGGTCGGGGATTTTGCTGTCCGGGATCTTTTCCTACCACTTCAGATTCAGTATTCTCCGAATACAGCTGAGGTTGAAGTGGCTCAAGCTTTCGGCTTAGTTGACATGGACGGTCCATGTCTCTGCGAGTGGATTGGTGTCATCGGAACTACAGCCCCATACATCAAGACTTTGGCGTTAAAGTAAAGTTCTCGGCTATTCCAAACTGAGGTATTTAGTCCGTTAAATGCGTTACTGACTTTAGAAACCCGGTTTGACACTTCATCGCCGATCCTGACATTCAATGAAATTGCGCTGCCTAGGTATGCGAATTTGTCCATAGTGGTGAGCTGAGCCCCAGTACGATGATTGGGGTTCTCTCTAGTCCGTTTGTGGTGCTGTTTGATATATTGCCACCGACTTCTGCGTGTTAATAATCAATCCAAAGTTAGCGCAGTGGGGTGAAAAGGTCTCTGCTATTTCCATTGCCGCTGCAGTTGTTGTATTAAGTGAACTGCCTTCCGCGAAAGTAGGCTGTGGGTGATGTTGTAAAATGCTCTGGCCGCGCTTTCATGCGTCATACCTTGAGTAGTTGTTTGAGGAGCTGGTAGACAATGTTGATTCTTGGCCGCTCCTCATCTTAGGCGTCCGTCAGAAATGCGGGGTGCATGAGGCTGAGGAGGGTAGGAACGAGTGCACACCTCTGCTTCACTCCATTGGTCGCTGCCAGTGATTCCAAGACAGTCCAATTTTTTCGTGAAGCAGGCCATCACTCCGTCGTGTAGTTGGCGTTCATCTGTGTGAAGCATCCCGGACACCCAAATTCTAGCTCGATCATTGGAAGTCCGTTACGATTCATTTTATTGAAGGCCTCCATCAGATCTACGAAGGCAATATCAACATTTTAGGACAATTCGTGCAATTGGCGAGTGACAGAGATCGCATCGACGGTGCCGCGACTTCATCGGAATGCACCTTGGCTTTCTGGGAGGGGGCCTGTTCTCAAGTGGATGTTCAGCCGACTAAGGTGAGTGTGGACGACGATTTTCACGGTGATGTTGGGGAGGGAAATGCCTCGGTTACAGTTACAGAGTTGACGGTTGCCCTTGCGTTTGTAGGTGGTGGCGTCATAAAAACCTGAGCGATTTGTCCTTGTCACCACATCTGTTGGAACAGCAATGTAAGATTATATATCAACCGCGGGTCGCCATGATTGTTAACTTCGGCTGGGATTGCATTGAATCCTTGTGCTTTCCCACTGGATAGCTGGCGTACGGCACAAATTGTTTCTGGGAGGAAATGCGGGAGGCCTAGGCCATAATTCGTCTGTACTTGACTGAGCCGGTCGACGGCGGTGTCGGAAATTATGGATGGGGGTTGTGGCTGGTTATGGAGTGCTCCGCCCAGTGCTTCAGGTCCGAAGATGACTGGCGAGCCCCATCCGTGTGCGGGAGCTTCGTTGGCAGATTAGGGATTTTGGAGGGCGTTGGATGATTACGTTTGAGACTTGAAAGCCGCGCTTTTGGCTTTGACAGCGGCGATCCGGTAGGCCCAGTCGATTACCGCCCCTGTTTTTACAGCGCTTATCAAGGCCGGTCGATCCAGAGCGAGGTCCTTCCTATGTCGCTTGAAAGTTTTGTAGACGCTTGAGCGTGGTGGTCAAAGTATCATTATATCGTCATTTTGTCCAGCTTGTCGATGAGAATTCGCAGCGATGTCACCGCATAAGATTCACTTAGGTAGACGTTCGTCCTCCATCCCAACGACGTGGCTGTTTCACAAAAGTTCAATTTGCCTCAGCATGATGGCGATACTGAGGACTTCCTTGTCTGGAATCCTGTCTTGCTATCTCAGCTTCAGTATTACCAAGGGGCACCTGAGGTGGAGGTGATCGAGTTTCCTGGCTTGTTCCTCGTAGACTATAAAGGTCTCCGTTCAATACAGCAGTGTTCTCAAAAGGACGGACTTGTGAATCTTGAGATCGGTGTTGCGATGAAAGCTATGACGATCCCACACGGAGGCCTTAAGTTGGCCGAAAGTCTATCTGGCTTTGGTGATCTGGGGCGCAAATTCATCGTCGATTTTAGCGCTGATTCCGAGTGTAGTGCCCAGGTAAGGGAATCTGCCCACTACTTATAGTCGAATGCCGTTGACCGTGGTACGGGTATCATCGTGTTCACCGCTGGGCCACGGTTGGAGGATGGCCACTACTTTGTCCGCACTGACAGTTAGCCTGAAATTATCGCAGCCGGTGTCGAACAGGTCCACCCTCCTATGCATGGCCGTTGCCATCGTGGCACTGGACACACAGTCGTCCGCGAAGAGGAATTTGTGAACAGCGCTTATTGCTGTCCAGGTGGACGCCCGCATTCGTGGAGAGTTGACATCCTGGCCGCTGTTCCTGTGGACGATGCTGATCCCCGAGAGATCGTCACGATATTTGTCCATCAGCATGCAACATTATATTTCAACCGCGGGTCGCTATGCTTGTTAACTTCGGTTGGGATTACATCGAAACTTTGTGCTTTCCCGCCAGATAGCTCATATACGGCCCCAATTGTTTCTGGAAGGGCGGGAGGTCTAGGCCATTATTTGTTTATACGTGACTGAGCCGATCGATGGTGGCGTCAGAAATCATGGATGGGGGATTGAGGCTGGTTGTAGAATGCCTAGCCCAGTGCTTCAGAATGTGTAGTATCTCTGTACGAATTAGTGTTCCGGCAGAGCTAAGTGGCGGTGCGGCTCCTTTGGTGCTGGGTCCGTAGACCTCGTCGATCGAGACCCAGTAGTTCTTCGTTTCTTTGCGGTTCGCGTACACTAGGAGTTCCCCGACTTTGCTACATATCCACGCATTTTGTATTTTCTTGAAGACGTTGATGCACCCGGACGGCAACATCTGAGGAAGGCCACTTTGTTTGCGTCGGTCCGGCGGTCGACGCAGGCCCCCTGCAGCCTATTCTTCCAAATGAAATAGCTGAGGATTTATGAGCCGTTGTCGTCAGCACTAGTCACGACGTTGACGACGTGTGCGATCGAGGATACCCAGGGTGGTGGAGTGGATGGCGTCCCGTAGTTTACACAACCGTGTCTCTATGACGGTGCCGTCGTCCAGAAACTTCAGGTCATCCAAGCACTAAGCCACTTGATTGCTGAGTCCTAAGCGGTAAGCAACCATATCCGACGTAACAATATTTAGCTTATCTGGTGGTCGCTCACTTTGTGGTTTTCTGCGAGGTTACAGTGGGAGCTTTTTCTTGAATGACGGAGATCCGTTTAACTGTCAGCGCTGCAGACCGCCTTGGTCACTAGCATGTCCTGTCGGCCTTGCCCCTGGCGGGAATGTAGTCAAGCAGCTGCCGACACTGTGGTCGGGGATGCATTTATGTAGCCTTCTAACGCATCAGAAGGTGGAAGAAGGTGCTGCTCAGGAGGAGGCGGTGTTCTGCGCAGGAAGAGGCGGCGGTTTTCGTCGTAGCCGCAAATTCTGCGGGTACCCTGGACACTTTCTCAGGCAGCGTAAATTGTTCAGACGCGGACCGAAGTCACCAAGGAAAATCAGCTCCTCCGACTTTAGCTCAGTCGTCAGGAGAGCGTGCAAGCCTTCGTTAAACTTGTTCCTCATTTCACCTGAGCCAGTTATCCGGGAGGGGAGGGGGCTCCGACGCAAACGCAGACGCCGACGACGAATTCGGCTACCCGACGATGCAAGTGCAGGGTCATGAGGCGGTCATTGCTGTCTTGCAACAGGCAGGGCGGTCGTCCAACGACATCGTCTCGGATGATAAAAGAACACCAGCATCGCATTGCTCTGCCCTGGGCGACCGCTCCAGAAGAAATTGTAACCGACACGCACCTCCATCCTTTCCTGACGGTTGTTCCGCGTGTTATCTAACGGAAAAAAAACATTCCAGGCTACCAAAATGAACAGAGTCACTGTGCGAGCTTTTGTGATTGGGCAGGCGGGCTGGGCGGTTTTCTTTTTCGTTTGGCTGTCACTATCGCGAGTTTAACATTCATAAGCCAAGATATAATTTCCGATGCTATGAAACCAGCGGTAATTTAGAACCCCTTTCCAGTCGATTCCCTTTGAGGGTTAATTAGTGCTATCCTTAAAATGGTTGTTTAAATATCCCAGGAGACCGCCGAAATCCACTGTGTGACACGACTTTGTTTAACGGAAAACAACCCGAGTTGGCCTGGGTCGCCAACGGGATTGCATACCGTCATTTCCTCAGGAGGAGATGGGGTGGGAGTTTAAGCAGAATTGTTAGGTGTGGTTTAACAGCTAGAGGCCTGACTGGACGCTCGACCTTCGTTGTTTTAAAAGGCACCCACGTCGGAGTGGTGTTTTCCGTCTTTTCCGTGTCTCTGAGGTCACGTGTGGACGACCAGCCTCCTGCCAACCTACGATAAGTTGTTCTGGTCACTTTTCTATCTCACTCCAAGAGGTGCTATAAGTAACCTATTCTATTCTATTCTAATAGTTGCCTATCATTTTGTAGTTGATAATGCATTACATTTTTCCGTTTACTAGCCTGCGTCATATGATGTCCCGAATGCCTGTATCTCCAGACTCTGCGCATTTCGAGGTTAAAGAACTTTTTGACAGGATCCTCGAAGTAGCCGACACTTATAAGATTAAACAATCCACAACTCCCTCCAATACCGTTCGCGAGTCGACGACGCTTCCTTGCTTGGGGGCCCACACAACAACGGAGCGAATCTATGTTATCCAGTGGTCGATTGTCCATGGAAAATAGGGGTCGGATGCTGCCTTTCAGTTCTAAAAAATTGTGTGGCTTTGTATACGCCCAGTATGTTTAAATGGGTGTAGATCATTGGGGGAGAATGTGACTGATAGGGAAATTGAGCACTACCGCAAGCTTACTGATTTTGCTTAGGAATCCAATGGATAGGATAATGTAACGTATTTAATTCGAGGTTACACTAAGGACCGCGCCAGTTATCGACAGACTAGGAACGTTTGTTTTAGGACGGCACTGGTAATGCGGCTGTGAAGTGAATGCGCCAGAGGGCGAGGGGATCACTGCTGTGGTTGGAGTGGGGACGCCATTCCTAGACTGGCATATTGGCATTTTCAGTTTAGCATTTTCGCGACAAGGACTGAGGTGCATGGAAATGCGTGGTGCTTGGCGTGGCGATGCTTGAGTGTGTGACGAACGATCTCAAACGGAACGTTTTTGGCAGAAATCGGGCTCATTTGATTCTTCAGTGCCAGAATCTGTGCTCTGACCCGCCTTTGACTAAAGTATTTGCTCAGGTTTACCTGGGGTTACTTGTGGGGTGCGTAAGGGCATAGCCACAAAAGCATATTGCAAAAATGAATTCCCTAAGCTAGACATTCGCTGAGTTTCGAATGGAGTGAACTGGGTTATGAGATGGCAAGGCACTAGAGGGAGTTGAACACAACCTGTTCAACATGGTGAAATCGGCTGTGTGGATTGCCGACAATGTCCAACTTTTCAACTTTCTCTTCATCGGCGTCAGATCCAAGGAAAATAAAAAATGCCACTTTCAGCATTATTTTCTCGTCATCTCCTCTCTCGGCAAGATGGAATCGACTTCTACCAAACAGGAAAGCATAACTGTGACTGATCGTTGCGATTAGATACACGTAGTCGTTTAACTTGTGCGACTCTGAATCCAGAAGAACAACTTTGTGAAAACAAACAGAAGGACACGAGAGCGGATACGTGATTGGGAATACTGAGCAGCGTAAGGTTGCGCCGGTGCTATATTTGCTGCCCAGGTTTGGAGCTAATAAGCCCAATGAGCCTGAAAGCCTGTTGGATAGCATAGTCTGTTGCGCTGATCATTTTTTTCTCAATAGGTAATAAAGTAACTTTACACCGTAATCAAAAGGGATTTTCCCATGACCTCTATAAACTTTGCTGTACATCTAATCCAGTGTATTCAACGTGATTTGTGTTATTAATATTATTAAATGAATCGTAGGAGGTGCATTGCGCTTGGTTTCCGGGACGTGTGTTGCATGCACACGTGTTTTCATGTTTAACTTTTGCCTCTTCATCTTGCTTATTTTAAGTGTTTTTCCAATGCTTCCCATCAGACGTGTTACGCTGATTTTCGAATTCCCACTTCTGCCGCTAACCTAAAACGGCCTACCCTACAAACCAACATATTCTCGCAATGTGCTGTTCTAAGGTTTATTTGACGACTTCTCCCTCCTTACCACGTCCGTCCTTCCAAAGGTTTTGGTTTCGTTTCCGCCAATCGCACGTTATGACGCTATGGGACAAAAGTTAGGGCACCGATTTACGTATGAAAACGCTCAGACCCGAAGTTTATAGACCGATTGGAAAGGAAACCGGACTGAATTATTGAGATAATTGAATATTCTTTGCAAATCTTCATCAACATGGATCTTCATTGTAGTGCCCCGGCAAATCAATCCACGAATACGCGCACAACAAAACACGCTATAATGACTTTACGCGGTCGAAGGAGTTAAATATAGTTTATCAGAGCTTCCTCCCCTAGTTATGCTGGCCTCATTTACTGATAACGTTCTTTTCGAAGAAGTCAGCATGCCAATTTTAAAAAATGCCTTAGTAATCATTTAGATTATTTATTATTATTCAAGAAATTTGTAAGAGAACATGTCGAAGGTGAAGAACTCAGTCAGAACAATTTGATTCAGCATCTCAAGGGAACAGGTATTTTTTTTAACTACAAGCAAAGTACAAGCTGAATTTAGAGAGCTTCAAAATTTTGTTTACATCGAAAATCAAAGGATGCATCTTTCGCGTCGTCATTTTTCCCATGAATTTAATACATTTTTAATTGAAGCCCAAGTAAAAAAGAATATTCTGTGAATTGGCTTAGAAAAAATGGCTAGAAAAGACTATACACAGTTTACATTCCATGTGTCAGGAATTAAAACTGTCGCTTGATCCTACGGTTTCGCTTTTGTTTATTTTTGAATTCTTAGAGGCCAGCCAAAATGGTAGAAGTAATAACGGAGTCATGGAATGAACTTTCTACCCTTTTTAAAGGTAAAGAAAACCTTATTATTTAACGATAAGCTGCCCGCCCCGTAAAACCTATTTTTGGCCCAAAGGACTTCCTCAATGCACTTCAGGCCTTACAGCATCCAAGCAAATATGGGCACGACGATCCTTTGCTTAAGAGGTTTCCTTACGCAATGTTTTAATATTTTTTTAGCTCTTTATCAAATTTGCCCTTACCGACAAAGGACTTAGACGCACTGGTAACTGATAACTGGTAATTATCGTAGATTTTAGCGTAAAAAATATGCTTCGTTGAATTTGACCTGTATGCAAAACGGCGTTGATGATCAATCTTCAGTCAGCAGCTTTTGCAATGCCTTGCGCGAACTACATTCATTAAAAGGTTTTTCAAATATTCTAGCTATTTTTTTTAGTCTTGCAACATCGCTCCAGCCAGCATGCGCGCGTATTTCTACAAAACGGTTGCCCACTGGGATTTCGGTCAAAAATCTGGGCCCTCTGCCTCAACATAAATGTCACCAGGAGCGTAAGTTTCACTGACTAAGATTGCAAACAGTCCTGTATTGTGAGATAGACAAGTAATCTGTGAATGTGGTTCCTCGCGATCTCTAATATTCAGGTATGGGCAGGCAAATTCACTTAGTTAAAAAAAGTAATCACTGTGATAATTTTGACATTCATTGTCATGTCTAGGGAGTTATCATGCGCGACTGTCCTCTTAAAATATCCTTACCCGTAAGCGACTGGGGTTACATCAGAGGCAAGTATGGTACCTGAAGTGATTATGCGTAGGTGCATACACACAGTATCCGGAGCGACACGAGTCCCTAGTATATTTTGTCCAGATGCGATTTTTTTGTATAACAGTTGGAGGTTTCAGTCTCTGACTGAGACTAATTCGAGCTGACATATCGTACAGGTCATACAGCTTGGAAGCCGCCGTCTACCCTTATACACCAACATCAACCGACCTTAAAAAGGCGAGACCAATCGTCCTAACTTGCCATGTATACACTGGAAACTCGACACAAATTCGTCTGGGACAAGAATCGCATTGTAGGTGTCTACTCATCTAAGAAAGGCCGCGACATTTTAGAGGCCATTCATTCTGATAACTCATGCATCAATCGACACATAGAATTGGATGCTGTGTACAATAACCTCAAGGAAAAGTGGAAAAGGCATTGGCCAATCGGAAGATTACGCCAGCAGGAGTGACGGAGCAAAATAGTTTTTAGGCATGTTTAAATGTCAACTGTTTTGCACACTTACTTCACGTCTGAGAACAACTTGGGGAACAAAAGCTGAAAATTTACAACCAAATTTGTTTATCTTTCCCAAAGAACTTATTTTTTCCGAAATATATGTGTATTTGTATTGGTTGAGGGGCGATCATCGATCGTGTTACGGGACTCTTTCGTCCCGTAGTTCGAACCGGTAGTTCTTTTTAACATTTTGCTGGTCATGACATTGACACTTATTATAATTCATTTGGGCTATGGAGAGTTATAAGTTACCATACCTAAAACGGGTGTTATCAAAGGGTTATCCGGTATGTCAGAACACTTATCGGAAGTTCGACGGCTCGGTCCCATCTGCAAACACGCATCACCCTATTTGTAATGTTATAGCTCCCCGTGTCTAATCATAAATAAATATTATCGGGTTCTTAGAATTTACGGCCTAACTAGCACGTCTAAAGGTCTTTTGTCTACTTGGCACATGTATAAAATCGAAATTATGGATGGATTCACCTGGATAGTCTGTGTTTTACTCGATTTTCTTACCAGTGTAGAGCATGGTAATTTCAAAAGCATTTTCACGCCGTTTTACTCCAATTACCGTCGTAAGTGGCGAGACCCCTTATTGTTCCGACAGTTCAGCCGTGTCTTGAGCATGCATCTGTTTACCATAATACAAACCTACTCTACGTTTATCCACTTCTTTCTGCTAATACCTAGTTCATTCATATGGTAAGACGGAACCAAGACGACCGTAGGGTGTCGTTGGTGTAGAGTTTGAAAGCTAAACGACCCATCTGCGCGTACCACGCGTGGCCTTGGTCTTCGCTGCAAACGTGCCAAGCTTGCTTTAGAGGACGTGTCGGTTCCCATGCTTAGGAAAACGTTACAATCAGAAAGTTCTTGTCAACTGACCGCGAGTCACAAATAGGGTTCCAGTTTTCTCATCAATCTGCAGACTCTCAAGTCATGAATCTTAGCTCTTTTCGATAGTTTGGAGGCACGTTGCTTGTTTAAGGTTAGGAAATAAGTCCCTGTATCCGTGGTAAGTTGATTTCACCATATTTTCTGCCTCTCCTACTTTAGCGGCCAATCTGGACTTTTCGGGTGACTCGTGAACAAATTGGCTTCAGTGGATAACGGCGCGTGAGCCTCCGGCGAAAAGTGCCACACGCATTTGTCATACGGCACTGGTTAAAATTTCTCGCGACCCAGTTAGGCTTCACCATGAGACGCCAGTTTTAGTCTAGTGCTATAACGGTATATTCCGTTCGGGAGAGGGGCTGTTACAACCAGCTACTTTCAGGCATAAAGATTTCCATAAACTTGTGTGAGGGTCAAACCGCCGCCGTTCAATTCTTTATTTCAGGATTCAAGCACTCCTGCCAGTTGGTAACTTCGAAAGCCCAAAATCTGAAACATCATTAACTGTTTCTCCACCTGTCATGTTCCATTGGCTCAGTGAATGAATTAATTGAAGTAAATGGTTTTCTACACTTCCACCATATGCCGTAAGTATTTTCGGTTTCGAACTGAAGGACTAGGGAGATTTCACCCAAATAATTTTCTGGGCGCATTATAGGCTCTCTTTGAGTCTTACCATCCAGCATCGTCCAGGTCGGTCTCGAACAGAGATGATTGTTAACAAGCGGTAAACTTAAATACCGTCTCACATGTTATCAGTAAAACTAAAAACTTGGTTGGAACATATTGCCGACCCGCCCACGGTAATGTTTTCTAATTATAGGACAGAGCGTACTATTCCCAACTGAAACAAAATGTGGCAGAAACGGATTTGGTCGTAGACCAGTTGGTGCACAAGGTAAAACATCGTGCGTTAACCAATGCTGCTGCAGGAGATGCAGTTAATAGTCGGAAATGACGAGATGTACTTCGTGTTTTGCGACTACATTTACAAGGTAAGAATCCAAAATTTTGTCTCTTTGCATTTGCAAAAATATTCATCGTCGAAATAGTTTACTGAGTTGAGCAGCACTTATTTGAAGCATGTCATTTTAGGTTTTGGAGTCGCAAAAATTCCCATGGAAGTATTCGGAAGACTAGTTGGCTAGGACTTGTTTGCTTCTGGTAAATTCTTGTCAGGCCAATACATTCGTATGGGAACGTGGTCAGGTAAAACATGCCAGTGATTGGAGAGATCGACGAAAGTTTATTTTTAAACACGAGTTGGGTATGGGAATAGGGGGGGGGGGGTAAAAAGCGCCAATGCCGGGAGTGCGGTGGGAGCGGAAGGGCGCGGGGAGTTGACCTTTGACCACGGTAAGCGTGAAGCCTGACCGGGATCCCTCTAAGCTCACAAGACCGGCCTTCTTGACGTGATTGTGGCTGCCTCCGCTGCTGCTAACAGACACTGACCCTTATAAATCACACGAAAAGCTCCGCTGGGGTTCACACGATGCCCGAGATCAAACATATGTGCGATAAGGTGCTGTTTATGCTTGTCGTTTTGCCTTTTCCCGGCCATGCTGGGAGATGTTCTCATATTCTTCTGGATAGACGCCGAATCGTGCGACTATCATAACCTGCTCCAAAGGAGCAAGTGAGGGAGTAGATGGACATTGCGGTGGTCCTAGATAGCAACCTCTCCTTACCTTCTCCGCGTAAAGTGGGGTCAGTCTAGAATAATATTCGAACTCTTCCTGCTGGGAAGGTTCTCGTTACCCCCCTTTTCCCCACATTAAAACACCCCGCCTGTGTTCTAATACGGACTTTAATCGATTTCTCCGATCATTTACATGTTTGACTTGACCTAGTTCCCATATAAATGTACTCGTCTGACGAGAATTTATCGAAAGCAAACATATTCTCGCCAAGTAGTTTTCCGGATTTTACGTCTTACTCTGGCACGTTTCTTGCCCGTTATTCTGTCTATAATTGCAGTGGTTTCGTTGTCTATCCTTTATAATTGGACCTAACATCTTGATATCCCATTTCCTTGTCTGGGTGTTCCTTCATTTACACGCGACAGTGCAACGACACCGAGGTTTCAGGCAGTCTATTTGTTTCTCAGAGGAGTTTATGGTCATGACGGACTCGTGGCTTTTAATAAGTTGGGTTTTGAAACCAATATTAACACCCTCTTTTTTAGAAGGAAGGAATTACTGTTACGTTCATAATAACAGATCTGTCGGCCACCCAGTAGAAAAACAGTGCTTCACTGGTATCCCTTCTTTGAACGTGTGTGCGCTTAACATTAAGGCAGCAGAGGAAACCCACAAATGTGCGTTCAAGCTTCTGTTTCACTACGAGTGTAGTATAACTATCCAGACTGTACGTTGCCCTGACACCAGTGCTACCCATTTTCATACGGTTGTTTGAATTGCCACATGAGAACTTTTTATGCAATTTTCATCGCTGTCTGTGGGGTAGTTTAGGAGACAATGCCTACGGGTGGGCGCAAAGTTAGTTTCGTTGTACACTTTTCGCTGAGGAACCGCTGCCAGAGTTTGAAAATGATGTTTATTTTCAGTCGCGTCTTCTTGAGCATTTGTTTTCTCTTCAATTGATGTTGAAAGTACCCCACTCAAGAATACAGACTCTGTCGTACGTTGTGAAAATTTCTGCTTTTCGCCTATCGAAACAGCCATTTCGGTATTGTCTCGAATAAAATTTTGCCACGTTATGTCGAGTCTACTTACCCATTCCCCTGGATGCAGTGGTTGTGAAGTCAGTGTTTTCGAATATTACTGATTAGGCATTTGCTTACCATCTGGTGGTAACTTTGGTTTTGTTGCTTAAGTAATGCACTTTATTTTGCAAAGTTTTAATATTATGATTTTTGTCTGTGTAGACAATAATTGTACAAGTATACTTTTAAGTATTTCCTGCCTAAAGAGGCTTTTTTGGAAATTTCAATCCCTCCCCCCACCCAAAAATCACTATTTCCACATATGTCTTGAGATTTCTGTCCTTGGCCTTAATGTTTTCGTAGGCAGTTATGCTACACTTGATCCTTTGTTTCTGTCCATTAAGTTGTATAAGGCATGTTTTTGTCAGTTTGCCTAAGAAGATACTTAAGGTGAACAGACACACAATGCGCAATAAAGCTATCGTCGTGGGTGAGCTGAAAAATCGTAACTGTTAGAATTTGTACGCATTTTTCTCTGTAGTCGCAAAATATGAAACTAATTGTCATGCGTAAAGACGGATGCCCAGCGCGTCTCTTTATCGCACAACCACTCTATTAGTGATTTCTAGGGGTTAACCCTCTAATTTGTCTACCAGTGGGTGGTTCTGACAGTCGACATTAAGTGGTTAGTCTTCTGATCCGCCCTAAGTCAGTCACGTTCATTTCGCTGTCCTGCTTCATCTCGAACGTTTGTTCATCAAATGGTCCATTGCAAAAAACTCCCGTCTACTTTTTTCACCTGAGGTGCTTTTGCCGTTCCTGCGGGATCCAAAAGTTATGGAAGTCTTTGCGTCCTATCCTGGAACAGCATTCAAGGCTTCGCGGAGAAAGAACATCGATAGTGTCATTTACCCCCCGTCCGGCGTAATCCCTTTTCATGGATTTTCCATGTACGGTAAGTCCACGAAACCTTTAATGGCACTCTATTCAAACCTGATCTTACTGTAGTCTTCCGGAATTCTTCGTTATCATAGTTGGCCGTTGAGACACTGCCGTTTGAGCTATGACCATCACCCATTGCATGATTTTGACAGAATCCCTAAGGCGGTTCGCTGAGAAGGCTCGCAATGTGTGAAATAGAAGACGAGTATCAGGCAAGATCTCGCAAATGAAATCATTGGTAATGGATGTGGTGCATGAGTTCTACTGACTAGTGCTTAACGTCATAGCTGAAGGTACTTCACGGTTGGGGCGTCCTTTGATTAAACCCAGCGCTCTGTGTCGTTGCCTATTACGCGGTTGAGGAGTTTTGTTCATTTTGTCAATATCTTTGACCCGTTTCTGACATTCTGACACGCGCGGCATGTGACTTATCCAACAGCCACCACCCAGGATGGCTATTTGGCTAGCTGACAGCCCACAAAGGTATCGCCGACATGCTTCGGTATTGCGATTGCGGTCAAGTTAACATACCAGCACAAGTTTTCCTAACCATCCAGTACTGGAGTGAAATGCTTCCTAACCTCTGTTCCCTCGGGGCCAACCTACTGATTCAAGCAACAGTTCTTGAGCATAGCCCTATTAAGCCTATTAGAAATTAGCTCTAATAGTACTGTGTTTTTAACGAAGTACACATAACATGACCGCAACGATAGACTGTAATCAGTGTGATGTTGAAATTAAGACAAGGTTATCAAAAGCCCGTCTTTATGCTCCTCTCGGAAGTGACTAAAGTAATTGTTCATTGTTAGGGCGAACTATATCATGTTGCCAATTTGCAATTCTACTGTGTCCGTAAGTTGGGTGTTATATTTAGAAGTTATCTAAGTACTCTAGTTTACATTAAGGTGGAAACCTGCCAGGCATGAATAAAATTCAACACGCGGTACGTGCAGTCAGTCATGCGGGGGAGAGAAGGGGGATGAGAGAACGGCAGTGCGAAGTTGGTCACGTGATCCAGCTGCCCGCTAGCTTAGATAACTTCCCTCCCTCTCTGTCCCCCTCGCCATGCGCACCCGTATATCAGACCAACGTTCGATGTTTTATTTACTTATCATGTTTCATCCCTCTCGGGCTATCTCTGATTGAACAGTTAACCTTATAAAAACGCAATGACCGTGTGCAGTTGAATAAGAAGTCACGAAATTTAATATCGTCAATGAATTCTGCCTGTTTCGTCGCCTTTGCTTTGTTCAAAATTATTCCGGGAAAACAACGCTTCAATACTTGGAAGTCCTAAGTTACTTGTTTGAGGTGAGTTTCGGTATCATCGAATAAAGGTCCTCACAAGTGCTTATCGTTTCCTACCCTTTTTTCTCCCCCATCTAACTCCAGTGGCTCCATTGTGCTACCTTTACGATGATCCAGTCCAATTATACATCGTGTTTCGACAAATGTATATGAATTACTTCCATCGCCTACACATAATCTCCGACGACCCGGAGGTGAGTAACAGCTCTGTGCAGCAATTCGACCTTTAGGGCATTCTGATTCTTTGTATACTCTTCGAGCGCATTCTCCAAGACAAGGAGCCCGAACTAGTCATGCACCTAACTTGCGTTGGCGCTCCACCGTAGGTTCCCTATGCTCTTTTTAAAACAAATTACACTGCATGATTTCGCACTTTTAGACTTCGCTTGGCATTTAGATGGATTCTGCGCGCCTTCAGTGGTTACTTATCCCCCGAACAGGTCCTTCTTCTATGGGACAGAATCCTTGCCTGGGATTCCTTAGAAATAATTGTAGGTGAGCCACAGTTCGCAAGCGTTGGTTAGAGCCGAAAACTCTGCGACCATTCAGCTTTTTTCCACACCGTGTAAATAGACATCAGACCGTAGTTGGGACCGGTAGCTAACGGCGGGCAAGGAAGTGAGCTGCATAAAACCCGCGATGGTTAAAGTTTCATTGCCTAAATATGGATAAATCTCTGGAACGTTTGCATACCTTAGATGTTACCACATGTTACTGAATGGAGTTTGATTTCATGCCACCTATACTATTTGGTTCGACTTAAAATCTTGAGTAGGGCGTTTACGGGTTGATTTCTTGCGTTGTCCACTTTTTTCAAAACCGTAAATGTGCTTGATTTTTCCTCTTGTTTGAAGTCCTTGCAGCTTCCATTATGTCGCATCGCAAAAGAAACCTGATGCAAGCGGAGAATTTGACGACAGTCGAGGTACATTTGTATAGGCTAAACTTCTTAGAAAGATCTTTCTTCTGCTTCTGAGATATACAGAAATCATTCATATATTAATAGAATGCTCAGAAGCTTGTCATTATAGGCTCTTGATGCACTCAAAAGATAGGTGTTCAAAGAAGCTTTGTGACTCTAGGTCAAGCCACGTTCATGTAAACACTTCTATCGAATTTTAAGGCGTGTGAAACAATGTATGACATTGCAGTAGATCAAACATGGGTGCATTTTGTAAAAAAAGATTCTTGCCTTTCCACATTTTCGACGCGTTTGACGCCGTGGACAGTTAATGTTGACTGTGTGCTTGGTAGTTCGCGAGACCACCAGCCACACCCGGGTAACCGTTTTACCAGCGCCCAAAACCAGATGATATCTAGTTGGTATTTGCCTTTAGCGGCTTATAATGATCAACAACCTGATCCCACGTTAAAGTCGCTAGTCGTTTGGGGTAGACTTAATTACCGCGCAAGTAAATCCCTTGATTTAGCCAACGCTAGCAAAGAGAAAATGTCAAAGACGGGAGAATTTCTTCCATTCACCACTCATATCTGTTTTAGGGCAATAGTCAATATAAACTGGTAAGGTTAGGTGGCATAGACTGAAACAAAACTGTATGAGAACGATGTCGTAGGATGTATAGCAAAAGGAACGACTATGAAAAGTCATGTAAAACTATGAGATGCATAAGCGCATTCACCACTTGCCCACCCAGTGGAACGACATGTGTTCTTACGCGGCCGCTGAAGAGGAACCAATCGCTTTGTAGCATGTATGGACGGAATTTTATACCATGTTTGCCTGTGCGCCAATCTCATTTCCAATCATCTTGAACTTTTCGTGCAAACAAAAATGGGCATGGGAAGATAGTGTTGGGCAGATACTGCGAATACCTACCCAAGTCCAACTCACGTTCTAATTACCCTTACTCTCCCAGTGTATGCGTTGTCATCGTGATACTCAGCTGATGAAGGATCAGGTCGTGTGTGGCCGCCATATGACGAATACGCCTGAGCTGGAAGGTAGCGTCGAGACTTTTATCCCATTTTAACATTAATTGGTCACTTCCAGTTCTCTCTACCAATACTGTTGCCCATGATGTTAAACTGAAGTCGCAGGGGTCTCGGCCTGCGGATATGGGCGACGCGGAGGCAAGACACGAGAATAGTAGGCCCAATATTATGCCATATTCCAGGGACTTTAGGGTTAACGTTGGGATTGTGAGGGTAAGTTAGGATTAGAGTTAAGTTTAGGGTCAGGGTTAGGGCACGAGAATGCTTGCTCTTCCTGGAATTTTCCACAAGGCTACCTACATTGCCCGGCGGCGGAGTTCCTATTCCTGAGTCTTACTGTCACGAATTGCGGACTTTCATAGGACAGGTCCGCGACTTGTGCTGCTGGGAGATGAGCTAGAAATTTTTGACAGAATCGAAGGAGTAGATTTTTGCAGATAAAGGGTTACTAAACTTCTTCCTTGTTAAGTTAGCATGCCTGTATGTATGAGCGAGAATTCGAAGTCTGTCATGGGTTTAAATTCGTCCAATACCATTGTTCTGCCTGACGTATAACAGTGACTTTTTATTTGGTCACTGTCAACATGGCCTACAAAGCTTGCCGAGAAGACCTCTGATGATTGCCTAGACTGTTAACGTTATATCCTGTTTTTAAAATAGTTTCACCTTTCCAAAACTATAATTAAGAGCATTTCTGCCACTTTAGGCCGTTCTCGCTGATTTTTCAACTCTGAATGTCACAAGCCTGCTGCAGACTTTCCTTTTCGCCTCCTCAACAGAATTACCAAGGTCGGGGTGATATAAGTAGATTTCGCTACCATATCGCATTGCGCGGTTTTTTGAGACTTATTATTCCTTAAAATTTTCAGTCGGAAAATACAAGGACTTTACTAAAAACTCCGTCTACGGTTCTTTTGAAAAACGGCTAAGGACTAGGGGACCGATTCATTTTCTCATGCCGCAGTTACGTATTTACAATATATTCAGTGCCAAGGACGCAGAGGTGATGAAATTCGTGAGACGTGGTAATTGATATCCACTATCCTGGGTTTGCCTCAGACGTTATGAATGCCTACACTAGCATGCCCGTAAAACCTCACTTACTATCTATTTTTAGACTAACGAATGGCAAGGTATTTTGAGTGTAGATCGATATTTTTAGTCTGGAAGCCTTCTTTTGGTAGAAAGTATCACGAGTAAACTATGTTAGTTCTCATATGCCCTTCTATGAGTGAGCATAGATTTAAGGAACGTATGGATTCTCCAGATCTTTCAGATTAGAAGATAAGACCGACAAGTGCGGACATATGGGACGAACATTCTGCGTGCTGAAGAGCTATTGAGAAGAATTAAGGTATTGTCCACTCTCATACACGCTTTGTTGAAGTGTTTTAAGTAGTCTCCACCGGATGCTAATCAGGGCTGCATACTGTCCATTATGTTACCGCCATACATTGCTTGAGGATTTATCGAAGCGTGTTTTGCCCAGTAAACCAAAGCATTCCCTTGCTGAAATAACACGAAATTGCGCGGACTAGCTCTGCACAGTGCGTAAATGATCAGTCAGCACTTCGGAGTGACCTGTAGTTGTTTGTATACCATCTTCACCCTCAGGGAGGCTGCCTTCTGTACTTCGGTCGCTCCTAAAACATCCCACACGCGAGCCAGGCACCGCGTTTCATAAACATATAAATTGTCTCATCCCGTGTCCTGTCTGTAATAACTACCTTGCTGGATAATGGAGGCTGAATTACTCGCGACGATGTCTAAGAGACACGATCACTGGAACAAAAGGTTTATCCGCCTGACGTTTCAGATTCTCACTTACATCCGAACGTGAATGGCCGAGCACGCAGCAGCAGTGAGGAGGAACGACGCCAACTACCAAGTCTTGGCCCATTCGACGGGACCCAACCACACATTCAAGTTTGAAGAGGCAGAAATTCTTGCTAGAGGCGACAACAGCGTGAGCCACGAACTGCTCGATTCATGGTTTTCCGGTCCTTAATCAACAAGCGCAGCGACCTTCCCGCTCCATATTCGGCGCTGGGCCTTTGCTTAGACAAAATAGTTAGCCGCAAGGAGGACGTGCGAATAACCACTATCTCTGGTGTCAAGGTATGCAAGCCAAATTGTCCAGAAGTCCACACGGATGAAGAAATCCACAGTCAGCAACTCGACTGCAGGGGCATAGCAACTGTTTGCAAGCGGCATACATCGATACCTGGCCAGTCGAGCCGTGACGCACTCGGGAGCTGCCAACTTTGATAGGCATGTAGCGGCCTAGCAACTAAATCCTATAAATACCGCAACACCTGCGCAATTCACTACCCATATCCGACTCTGTCTCTGATGGTGGATTCGAATGAAAATTCGAAACTTCAGGCTGATATAGCTTTTTTCCAGCGATCGTGTTACCTTCGCGACTACTTCCTGGAACTCGCCTCTTCGATTCTGTCTAACTCATTCTTTGCACTCCAATCCCACATTCACTCGCCTTCTCAAAATACATGGTGTCTAAGCGCGCGGAATGACAGTCTTGTGGTTTGAGAGAGAGAGAGAGAGAGAGAGAGAGGAATGCTTTATTTTGAAAATAACATTCCAAGTATTTCAAATATTCCTGTGTGGAACTGTAGGCAAGTTTCAGATACCTTTATGGCCTCTTCCAAAACAGCAGCCTGTTGGTCGCACCGGATTTCAACTGGCAATTGACTCTCGTGTCAGTTAACAAGCTTCGGACATCCCAAACTACCACGCTAACATCTAACTGATTACTTCATAATACAACCAACCTACGGCTACCTATGAAAACTGTTAAATCAAAAGGACTTGGTAGTTGATATTTGCAGCAAAGATTCCTTTCTAAATATTCTGACTAAATTGTACATGCATGCAGCAGTATTCGGTAAACATTCGAGTAAAGGACGCTGAAGCATGGGGAATTAGCGAGGGGAACCTAGCTTGCAAGTGATCGCCTTTCAGGCGAAGCTTTAACAGATGATACTGCTGCGCTTAACTCCATTCACGGCACTCCTGCCTGTATGCATAGGAAGAGTCAAAGGAAAACCTGGACACTCATCCAATGATTGGAAGGGGCTACGTATTAATGAAGACAGCAAGATTGTGCCACTCTCACCTAATATGCCACTGTTAGGCACAGAATACGGCCGGTAACCACTGTACAAGGAAGTTCGAGGTACTCAACTTGCATCTTGATTAGACGCACGAGTATTCCATTTCTCGAGGTCGACAAAGACTCTTATTGGCAAACATGAAATAATAGAAAAGGCGACTGTGCAAAATGCACAAGTGGACAGGACGGTGCTGGAAGGGCGAACAATTAATCCGCAACGTACTGACGATTAAAACTGCCCGTGTATGCGTTGAAACAATGATTGCACATGATGCTGTACAAGAGTAGGCCTTAACCCGTAATAAAAAATATTGCCTACTAGAAAAATTTAAGCATTACTCAGCGCGTGTCTTATCCGCTTATATATGCTGCCGCGAATCTACATAGATTAGAAGAAAACCGAACAACGTGTCAAAAGGGTAGTTTATCCCCTCTATGATTTGGTTTTGTTGGGAAATCAATGGCAGGAAGCACGATAAGAAGCGCGTCCTAACTCGTCGTGCCACTTTTATAACCTTTAAGACGACACTTCGCTTTCCCGCGGCCAGGTTGCGGCCCTAAACGACTAAAAGGATACTGGATTCTTGTATGGCGGATGGAAACGTCAGTCATTGGTCAACGAATCGATGGTAGCATCTAGATCCTTGTCCGATTGAGTGTCCCACCGCAATATCTACCTTATTTTAGAAGTAGCGTGATTCGAACCGGCTGCGGATGAAGCCAGCGGTGCTCAGCTGTACAGGATAGCTTTAAAGACTCTCATATGCCAGCACGATATGACGATCTGCGTTATTCCATTTATTTTTTAAACGCTGCATTATAACCCCCCGTTAGATTCCCCGTCACTTCCGGGCTTAATTGCAGGATTTTTACTGCGCTCTTTAGTGCATTCCGCACACATTACTACCGTTTGCGTCAGCAAATTTTAATTTTACAAGAAAAGCCGAGGCAACTACTTTGGAAAACACTGCATTATTCGTTGCTAGACACGAATAACAATAATGCAGGCTATACGCCGAAGACCGGCAATCGGATATGATTTCTAGAAGATCGTTGCCTATTTAAGAGCTAATTAACAAGGCATGTCATAAGTGATTGTGATCTTTGCCTCTGTCAGCAGACAGCTGAACGCTAGCCCTGGTCTCTTATCAGAAACCTAGACTTTGATTTTGTTTGATGAGCAGACAAAGTGTGTACTATGGAGTTTACTAGGCCAAGTGCAGGAGTGCTCACAGGTGACACCAGTGAGTGGTGGGCAGGCCCTCACTAGGCAACGTTAGCGGATTTACCATAAGCCTAAAATTATACTCAGGCTGAGACAGCAAAAACAATGACAAAATCGGCGAGCCCACCAAATTTAAGAACGCGACCCACTAACCATCAACAATAAGACCCATTGCGCTCGAAGAGAAGTTCTTTGTCAAGGGTGCCGAATCAAAAGCACGCCTGTCAAGCATAAATAGTATTGAGGCATGAAGTACACAACCACGCGAGCGAAGGCGACCCATTCACTTGGGTCGGATTGCAAACCTGCGGATATCGCCGTCCGATCACCCAGAACCAAACACCGCCAGATACAACATTCTGTCCTCCTTTTGCTCTTCGAATGTTCCGTCTATTTCCTACCTAATTCCTACAGCTGCTACTTTACGAACAGGAGTCTTGGGAGATGGGCCGAGTTCGAGGCCGACAGAAGGAGCTGTAGGATGATAAGGTTGCAGTCTTTCCAGCAGGGAGGGGCAGCCTAATTAATGGCAGCTTCCTGGTCTACACTGTCAGTAGAGGCCAGAATTTTCCCAACATCCAAGCATCTGGGGGCGTTGCAGTACTGCAGCATACGGGATTCGTATTTCACAAGTGTAGAGAGACTGCCCATGAGTCGATTATGTCCCGCACGCTCCCGCATTTAAGTTCCATAATCATGTGATTTTTAAGACTGTGAGATGTCCATTCAAACGACACCGTCCTTGTCCGTTGATTAACGCTTCTTATGACGTATACACGATACCCATCCACTGAAAAACTTGACCTGCCTCATGGCATAGAAATGAGTTTCCTTGCATGAAAGCATAGAGCTTGTCGTCAGGAAACCCTGAATGCAAGTGTAATGGCAGACTCGGCTCAAACTGTTTAGACCCGAAAGAAGTCTTCTCTTCCAGCATAAAATTTGCAACCACACTTAGGCAATCCTTTCCAATCGGAATCTCCGTTATCGTTTCATGCGACAGGCCGCCTACTGTATTTCTTAGTTAAATAGCTCCGGAATTAAGCAGTCATCGACGTGCGTACGGCAAGAAACTAGTCAGCGTCCGAGCCTTCACAAACGGCCCTTCTGGTTGCCCAGTAGTGGTCGGCGGTGGAGGCCATCCCAGCAGGACGTTTCGCTGTTCTAATTGGTCGAAGTGTCACGGTGAACGAGGTCGGCAAAGAAATCACATCGAAGCCTCCAAATGTCAAAACTTGACGATAGAGCTTTATGAATTGCTTTAGGACTAGATACATTTAAATTCCCCTTAGAATGTGGGCCGAACAGTGCTGCCTAGTGACCTTGGTCTCCCTAGTTAGCCTGAAGTTGAGATTGCACTTCTCCCAGCATTCTCTCAAACAAGCGGTAACTCCTCCATTCCGCAGGTCCAGTTAAACAAACACCTTGTTCAGGTGTTGAAATGCAGTCCGTAGAGGCCAGCCTGTCATGATTGGCAAACCAGACAGGCCAGCAACCACATTTACAGTCGTACAGTCCAGTCCCTTGGTGTGACCTGCAGATCGTTCGAGGGGGGACTGGGTACCAGTTCTTACCTTCACCTCCGCGACAAGCGTTAGGCAGCAGATAGCAGCTGCGGTTATGCGTAATCGTTCTCCGGAGTATAGTGTGAATGAAACGGTGGGAAGGATGAAAGAGGGGATAGTGCACAAATGCTAAACGAGCAAAAGTCAGGACACGCGTTTCGACGATTTCCTGCCGACAAATGACGCGGCTACGAGGAGTTTGGCTCGCCAGTGCGTCTCTCCAGCGTCCCCCATGTGAATAACTCAACAATTATATACTGACGACCGTTGGGTCTTGTGAGCAATACAAATATTACGCGGTCATCCCACAGAAGCTGGACTTTAACTCGCATATTCTTATCAACTTCCCGGTCGAGCCTGAAAAAGTCCGTCACGAGGAAGTTGCTTCAAATTAGCGCATAAGTTTCCGAGGATACTAAGTCATTCAGCCTGTTTTCTGGTGTGATGAAGTCGTACTTTCCAACACAATCCCGAAACGTGACATATACGATAAGGTCAGCAGCGAGTGGATTCGATTTCTCCGGTGGTAGACGCTGGCAGCCCAACGTTGTATTAGCAAGAGGTGCTGACGTCGCAGGCCAGACAAGTATGAGCCCGAGGGGTGTCTTGTACTTGGGTGCATTCACCTGTCATCCACCGCACCGGCAGGGGACGGACACCGCAGTTCCGGTGATAGTGATCTAAAGTCATGACTTGACGAGCGTCACAAAGAACCGTTAGTAGCCGGAGTTGCGAAGATGACCCCTGTGCCTTAGTTTACTATGGTCATATTCCTCAGTCTTCGAATTTACTTCTTCACGTAAGTTATCAACAGGCCAATAAGCCGTACTTGGTAGAGAGTAAAAACCGGTTTATTTGCAACATTCCTGCATATCAGAGACTTGAAATAGGGACTCCCAGTAACATGGCGGGGTTACCGTTGTGGATTCGACGGTTCCCCTTTTGGAGTGCGGGATTCCAGTATTCCGTACCTGTGGACTTCCCGGAGAGTTAACGGGCGGATTAAAAGACACTTCCATAATCAACTAAACGTAAAAGACAAGGTGGAATGTCATTGATCTTTTCATAATATTGGAAAATAAATGCACGAGACACAAAAGTACCAGAAGTCACGGTTAACTGAAAGAGCCCACACACGAAGACTCTAACTCATCAGCTAAAGTTCGAGCTTCTTCAACGATGTCCTTTTTGAGTCGAAGTTGTTCCCTGTAGGCAATTATTGCATCCAATACTTTAGAATTGAGGTCCTCAACCTTTATTAAGGTGTCACGTTTGGTTTCACTAAAGTCAGTCTCATGATATATTGGAGGAAGTGCTTTGGTGCCCGCACTGGAGCTAACCAGAGCCCGATAGAATGAGGGCGAGGGGTCAACAAACACCATTTCGTCATAGATCTCGCGAACAAGGCTTTTTTGACCCATCATAATTTCATGATCACAATGGAACAGCTTCAGCAAATGTGTAATAACCAACGGTTTCTCATTCGGATCGGTAAAAGTCACTTTTATCACAATGTCGAATTCTCCCCAACCCGTCTCGGTCAGTTCGTAGGGCGGCTTATTGAAAATGCGGATGGGGTTGGAGTAACTGTCATGCAACTTAAACTGGACTCGTCTGATGTACGTTGACATATCCTCGTTTGTGTTGTATGGACGGAGGAAGGCGGTCCACATGTGCGTGCGCCCATCCTCTTCGCGTTTCTTCCCTAGATACCGAGAAATGTTGCCATAGACGATCGGTTTTACAACAGTGGTTTTCAGTTTATCGACCACATCTTCGCTCATCTTCTGAAATGGAACGATAAGAAAGCTGGTGAAAATTTTAGCCTTTCAGCAAGTTAATCAAGTAAAAAATCTGCCGAGATGAGACAGGGCAAGAATTGCTCAGAGTGGATTGCCGGGCCCGAACTTCAGTGGTAGAGGACTGACGCTCAATACTAAAAGAGTCGGGCGCGAACCCCAGGCCATACAAACCTGGCATTGCGCATGGCTGACTGAAGACTGTCAATAGGCCAAAAGTTGGCACCCGTCTGCCTTGCCTTATTGAAGTAAGAGCAGAAGAAGCACTCTTTTTCAGGCTGTTATGTCGAATGACAGTCGGAGGAAGGAGAGACTAGGGTGGGATCTATCTCGCGGACTCGAATTTCAATATGAAGGAAATTGTTGGAAGGGAATATGCGCAGGAGTGTTGAGAGAAAGAATTCTCATATGACCGACGTAGGACAGGTTTTATAACAGTGAGAGGGAAAATTATGCCGAATATGGGAAATAGATGTAGTACTTACTAATGGACTTAGGGGACCTCCATCAACAGAGCGAAAGCGGGTAAGGGAGTATTGTCGCATCAGCATAAGCCCGTTCAATTCGGCTGGTCAGATCAGCGGATTACAACGGCGATTTATATATTATTAAACTCAGCTGAAAAAGTGAATGCTCAGAGTTCTAGACCTAAACTAGCGTCGACCGTTGATTATAGCCTAGATATAAAATGTTTTCGGCCTTCGCGAGGATTAGGTAAAAAACGGCGGCAAACAAAAGCGAGATAAGCATTCCAGATCCCCTTTTGGCACGCTGCCTCAGACTGACAGTTTAACACAAAGCACCGCTCTTACAAACGGCAATAGGCGAATCTAAGTGGCGTAAAAATTCAACTGCGAAAATGTTAAGACCTAGACCACATGGGTTTTACAGAAAAAATTGAAGGCAACTGGATGATTAGTATTTTAAGGAGATCGACTAGCAACGGCTGATAAGTCACGCACTTCCCAAAACCACTCGTAGAGGGAAAAGGCTTTCACTTAAGCAGACAGCAAAAGAAGCACGCAATACGGCGAAGCATAACCTGGAAGATTACGTCAAACCACAAAGCGTCACTACAGAATGGACGGGTGTGAGCTTCCCTAACTCTCCAACAGAATCCCGCAAATTGTTGCGCGCGAAAAAAGTGAAAGCGTAACAAAGCAAGGGTAAGGAGGGCATAAGGCGGCTCTGCAAAACGTGCAAATTCACTTTGTTGGACGCAATCGTAGATGACTGTTATAGGAACAAAAACGAAAAAAAATGTTTTTTTCTATTGCAGTGCCCCGAGGATTCAGTGCCTGCACTGCTGATGAAACTTGACGGTCAACATAAAATGGAAGCACAATAGACATTACGCACCCAATTGACCAGCCTAACGTGAGACACAAGAGAACCTTTCTAGCGAATTATGTTTCCGGGCTAGTCTGCCAACCAAAGTAGAACAATAAAAGTAAAAATCGGTATTTAATTATACCCAGGTGCTCGCAGACCACGACCTCATGGTTGCGGATTCCTAGGTAGATGGCGCCTGGACTAACCTAGGAAAGACTAAGGACGTAGTCTTCGCGTACTTGAAAAACGATTCCAATAACACTGGACAAATGTAAACAACCGCCCCCATTTCGGAAGAGCAGGAAGGCTTGTGGCTTCGGAAAATTTATCCTGGCGTATCTCGGTCGCTGAGTTGCATCTTCGGTGCATAATAAGCCGTCACGACAGACCACAGTGCACAACTCGGTGAAAAAATTACCACAAAATTTGCCCAAATCCCGCAAAATACTATTACATGTCAATTGTTACCCAATTGAGTGGTTAAAAGTGATAAATTCTTCACTTCGGTTGTCTGATTTACGTTCCACTTATGAGCCAACACCACGTTTTAAAAAGGGCATCGCGCGTCTGGCATTTATAAGATGCAGTTGACGCGCTGAGCGCTCACCGATCGCGTTGGTGAAGTCACTCGTCCCGTTGTGCCTTGGTGCCCTCTCTCAAACAAAATGTAATAGGACGGCGAGTGGTAGTGACTTAAAGACCTTGGCAACTGTTTACCTTACATTAATATGATAGGAAGTGACTGGCCAAACTTCCTCTAATTGGAGACAACTACTGGTAAGCACTTTATCGCTGTTGCCGATGGAGTCCACCGTGTGCTCCACAACAAGTTGAAGAAGGGACGGTGGTCGAGTCCGCACCTTATCGCTCCACTTTGCGCCCCCTGATCCACACAGAAAATGGCCGGGATTTTAACTAACAATAAAAGTGGGGAGGACCGTAGGGGTCTCAATGTGCACGACTTCCGCCGACAATCGGGTCTGCAACCGCACCCCGAGATGTTGGGATTGGCTATGGTGCGCATTCGGATAACGCCTGCCAGCATTCGATATGGCCCCCTTGTTGGTTCACCGCATCTACCACGTGGCCCGTTCGGGGGGTACAAGCAGATGTAACGATAGCAGGAGGAAGAAACAGTATAGGAAAATTGTTTGCTAGTGTAAAGGGAATAATTTTGCAACATTCCTATGGTGGGAAGTAACGAAACAATAAATGGGTTATGAAAAATAATATGGAGTTGTTCTACTGTTGTTACTGTCAGCAAGATGTTAAAAGAAAAAGCCAAGATTCTTGAGAACTAATGTTTTAAAAAACAAAACTGCAAGCGGTACTGCAGTCTAAGCGACTATACTTCTTGTATGTGACAACTGTCTCGTTGATTTCGGCCACTACTTGATTCGGAACAAACCAACGGAACATTTATGCCCAAGCACACATTAACCGGAACATCCAACACAAAACAGGCAGGGACATGGAAGACTTTGCATATCATAGAAAACAGTTCGAGCCCTTATGCTTGATGATTATACAAACTGACGTCTCAATATCGGAAATTTTTGCCGTTTTTCCAAGAGTCGTCTTCCAGTTCATTGGTCCCCAAAAAAGTCGAACCTCATTGCATATCTCACTCGTATATACGGATAAAATTAATCAAATAGAGCTGAAAATAAAAATGCTGGCTTGGGCTGTCGAGTGATCACTCACCATTGAGCACTAACATAGACGCGGAAGACACACCAGTTTGGCATTAACCGCCACTGCTATTTAATTATTGGTGCAGTAGTTTGACGTGTAAGTAGGGTGTTTCTTTCACGTGAAGTCACCTAGAAGACAACGGGAATGTTAACCAGCTTAGCTCCGAATCTGCCTACCTAAAGATCGAACCTCTTTGGCTGCATTTTTGCGACCGCTTTTCCTGGTGCCTGTCTGCAAGGATAGGCTATTTCCGTGGCCTCATGCTAGCACATGTCCCGAACTAAGGACTGGAAACACTGATACAAATGACTAACCACTTTAATTGCAGACGCAACAATTTCCCGTTGTTTGCTTATGGTCGAGTAACATCTGACGGTTTCTACAGATGATACCTATGTAGCCAGTCACCTGTTTTCGACTCTTCCCCTTCCGCGCACTGTAATGAAACTTGTCTGCTCTTGAAATAATAATAATAATAATAATAATAATAATAATAATATTGAGAATTTTTCCTATTAAACTCTCGTAGGGGTCTCATCAAGTAAAGTAAAAATAAATTTACATGCGAATTTTAGACGAGGTATGCAGAATCTGTACAAAATGTAATTCATAGTTTCTGCATTTTTACTCCGTTAAGTAAAATTATTACCGAGAGGTGAAAAAAACTCTACTTAAAAATTGAAAAATGACTAGATCAGTTTTACAGGATAAAAAGCCCCTCATTAAAAAATAATAACAGAAAAATGCGGACATGACTGGCCTGCATGTGGCGGTATACAACGGATTATGATCGGACATCGTCAGGGCAGAAATAAATGTCAGCCTTGAGGGGTACGTATGCGGGTCGGGCAGGACCGGGGTGCGTGTAGTTTTGTACAGGCGATTCAGAACTGACATCGTCAAGGCAGGATTGATACGTCGGATGAGACTATTTGCGTCAACGAGGCCAGACGAGAGGAATCCAGACGTGATCGTCCGAAGTACGCGTCGAGTCCAGTTAAGAGGTGGGCAAGGGAGGTACGACCAAACTCTTAGTAGACAGCGAAAACTGAGGGTACCGCCGTAAGCGTCGACTGACAGCACGAGGTTGAAATGCGGGAGATGACATCAAGAACCGCGAAAATTGTCTCTGTATACGGCATTGTATCACGGATTTCATGAAGCGGTAGGTAGGCGGGTCATACAGGACTGGCTTTTATGTGGCCTTGAGTAAAAGGTTCGAGACGGGTATCATCAAGACAGAATTCATATGCCGGATGAGGCCATTCATGTCAAAATGACGAATTGAAAACTAGTCTCGAGGCGATAGGAACCCAGGTGCGACAGGTTACCCAGTCCATCGGAGGAGGGGCAAGGGAGATGCGACCAGACTACTAGTATATGGCGAATGCAGAATTTTTCGCCAAGAGCGTCGATGGAGCGCATTCTGTGAGGGCAGGATGCATGAACTGAAAAATTGGAAAAATTAACATTTTTGGTTAGGGATCTTAGGAAGCGATACGACTCACAAATAAGGAAATGTGAGCAGATACGGAAATTTAATGGCGGCGTCGTATCCGGGTTGCCCTTTCTCAGTGTCATAGAGAAAATTGTCAGGGAAGGATGAGGAAAAGAAAAGTTTAATCGAGCCAGTTTTTAGATAAAGGCGTAGCCTTCTCCTAAAGGTGTGTATATTATCTGAAGATCTTATATTTATTGGAATGTTATTCTAGAGGAAAGTATATCTGGAAGCGAAAATAGAGAGCGGTTGGAGGTGAAGGAAGCTGGAGGAGTTATAATCAAGGAAGAATTGTGAAGATTGTATAGGCGACTACTAGGGGTGAGTGCTGAAATCCGAGGAAAATTTGAACTATGGTTACTGCGAAAGAGGAGACAGAAGCCCGCTTCTAGTGTTCGAACCCATAAGAATTTTAGGTTAATTAGCTGACATCTATCTGAGTAGGAGATATTGGGATGTTCCCTATCTAAAAGTTTTTTAGAAAAACATCTTTGGACATTTTAAATTTTTAAACGACTAGCCTCGTTCATCAGACCAGAGAATGGGCAACGATACTCGAGAATGGGAAGTACGAACATACGATAGAGCATTAATTTATTGTCAGGAACATATAAATTTTAAGAAATAAACTCACAAAGCTGGGCAGCTTTGGTTGTAATTCTGTCAGTTTGTGGCGAGAGATCAAGATTATTAGTGTAGCTTACACCTAAATCCTTGATTGTGGTACATTCAGTCATAGGGGTGCATTGAAAGTCCACTAGTTGGGGTAGCCTATCGGGTCCAAAACACATATAGCGACACTTAGACGGAGAGAATTCCATTAGCCATTTTGAGCTCCAAGTTGAGAGAGCAAGCAAGTCAGTATGGATTTGCGCCAGGCAATGAAGACTCGAAGATTTATTGAAAGAATATACACATTTGAGATCATCGGCATAAATAAATGATTCAAAATATTTAACTGCCACCGAGGTATCATTTATGTAATGCAGGAACAAAAGAGGACATACAACTGTGCCTTGTAGAACAGCACTTACAATAGGGCTTTCACTGGAAAGTGCAGATCCCACCAAAACCTTTTGTTTACGATTAGACAGGTATGACTTAATAAAGTATATTAGGCGACTGCGATTTCCCAGAGCTTCTATGTTAACCAAGAATCTTTTATGTGGCACTTTATCAAAGGCTTTACTAAGATCAGCATAAATATCGACAACAGATAGATGGGCATTACGAAGAGAAATAAGTAGATTGAGAAACGAGATGACATGTTTTACAAGATCGATCTGGTAAAAAAGCATGCTGGGAAGGGCTAATAACTTGATTGGCTATGCAAAAGTCAGTTATTTCCCAGGCGATAATTTTTTCAAAGGTTTTAACGAGAGAAGGCGTTTTATGGAGACCTTGATAGTCCTAAACGTCAGAACGACAGCCAGACTTAAATACTGAAATAATAATATAAGTTTCCCAATAGTCAGGAAAGAAGCCATTTACGAGGAGTACTGAAAAGAGTTTGCTAAGCAGAGGAGAAAAATCTATCAGCTGTTTTATAAGAGTTTGGGATATTGTCCGTACCTACTGAGTGAGAGTTAAGAAGATGGTTTATCGGTTTTTGAATAGTTTCGGGAGAGAAATTAATGATGCTAAGAGAAGCATCAGACAATGGAGGAATTAAAGGCGTTGGGTCAGTTTCAAAGGTGAAATGTTTGGCAAGGAATAAATTTAACATTTCTGCTTTGCCTGACTCCTCTGTCCTGAAGGCATATTTGGTACTAAGCGAAGGCGGAATGGCTTGGTGGGATTTAACAGATGATCGTTAACGAAGATCTGAGCAACTGATTTAGAAGCATTCACGTTGTAGGAATCAAGCGGCGAGAATAGGTGATCTGTGCGCTACCGTCATCGGGTCAGATGCCAAGTTGAAGGGAGACGGCAGAAGGGATCGGAAGGAGGGGTTTATTGTACACAGAACGCGGAGTTGTCCCCTCAGGCGGCAGTGGCCACTGGCGAAGAAAGGGCTGGTGTTGACTGCGTCCTGTCAGGCCTGAGAGTCCCTGAAATAGTGGTGGCAGTCGCTTTTGTAGGCTCGTGGGCCAAGCTCAAGTGGTCTCCAACCGGTGTGTGTTGTATTTGCCGAGGAATGGTGTCCCAGTTGCTTGTTTTGCTGGTTGCAGGGGGGTGGCGCGTTCAATTGGCTGCATGGGCAGCTGCGGCTGTGTGGACGTAATTGTGCCCGAGCTGAAGTCGGTCGTGTGACTTCAGGTCAGCTCGTTTGGGACGGCTCGCTGCAAGGGGTGAATGACCTTGAGACAGCGAGGTCTTGAGCAATGACACCGGCCAGTCATGATGGCTAACCGCCACAACGTCAGTAATAGTTAAAAGCTCTCTACACCTAGCTCGCGCAAGTCTCTCTCTCGAAACTAATTCAAATATTTCGACGAGTCTTAGAGGAACTAATAATAAGCTCACAAAAGGACCTGTAAGCTGCTTTTGTAGCTTTTTAAGACTGTTTTTAAGAAAGTGTGGAACAGCGGGGGAAGTGGCACTCGATTTGAACGTCTTCCGCGGAGTAAAGTCGAGAATACCTTCTGTTACGCACTGAAATAAATTTCTGAAAACATTTAGCTAATTATTTGAAAAATTGTTGTGCCAATCAAGAATGCTTGTAAGGTTATTTACTGTTTATTCAAAGTTAGATATTGCATTTACCGTTTACAATAGGGTTCTCAAAGGCATTGCCTATTACTCAAAAAATATACTGACATACTAACCTAACTGACCTATTCCTTGTTAATATTAGCAAAGTCAAAAATGCTGCTTTGTACTGTCCGCTTTGCGAAAATGGCAACTGGAAGACGATAATGAATAAATGCATGATCACATGCGAAAAGGTCATGATCAAAATGCATAGATGGAAGGAAGCTGACATTAGTAAAAATTTAGTTTAATGCACTATCGTTTCTGGTCGAAGAGTGGACTAATTGAGGCAGGTTTGAAAAGTACATGGTGTCAAGAAGCTTCTAGAATTTAGGAGATAAAGCATGTGTGTACCAGTCAATTTCTGGCAAATTAAAATCGCCTGCGATAATCTTGACATCGAATGGAGTCTCTGCAACTTTTTCAAAGAGTTCACAGAGTTGGCTTTCATTTCCGAAGTAACAAGGAGGATTATATACACACCCGACTAAGGCTTTCCTATTTTGCGGAAGTATTATCTAAGCGAAACATAAATTTCTAGAGAAGGAGGAAATGTTCAGGTCATAAGGCGATTGTGCATGTGAGGCTAACAACATTACTTTTATTTTCTTCTGTCTATATAACTCCAGAGTGACTAAGACGCTTAGTCCATGGAGGACTTATCTCAATGATGTTGTTTACTCAGCCGTATTCATATTTTTTACTTAATTTCTCGTTCTCGAAGTTTTCGTAGAACTCCACTCCAAAGCAATTTCTGCCTACATGTTTTCGAACTCATTTGCGTTAAAGTCTGTTCAGTTGACACGAATTATGCATCAGT